ATCTTTAAAAGAAAAGGGGGGGTGGGAGGGGACTAAAGAAGCCAGACCAAATGTGATGGCACATGCTTACATTCCCAGCACTTGGGAGACAGAGGCAGAAGGGCTGATCTGAATGAAAGAGTAGCCTGGTCTACATAACAAGTTTCAGAACAGGCCAGACCCTGCCTCTAACAGTCTGATAAAATGACTACATATGTAAAGATGCTTACTGGATGGTCTGAAAGAAAATGGGCCTCATAGGGAGTGTTATTATTAGGAGGTGTGGCCTTGCTGAAAGTGTATTACTGTGAGGGTGAGCTTTGAGGTCTTGTATGCTCAAGCTATGCCCAGTGTGACACAGAGTTCCTTCTGCTGCCTGTGAATCATGATGTAGGACTCTCAGCTCCTTCTCCAGCACCATGTCTGCCTGCACACTGCCATGTCCCGCCATGATGATAATGGACAAAACTCTTAAACTGTAAGCCATGCCCAATTAAATGCTTTCTCTTATAAGAGTTGCTATGGCAGCCTTTAATCCCAGCACTCAGGAAGCAGAGACAGGCGGATCTCTGTGAGTTCAAGGCCAGTCTGGTCTACAGATCAAGTTCCAGGACAGGATCTAAAGCTACAAAGAAACCCTGTCTTGCTGGGCGGTGGTGGGCGCCGGCCTTTAATCCCAGCACTCGGGAGGCAGAGTTAGGAGGATCTCTATGAGTTCGAGGCACCTTCACACCAACACACATAAAATAAATTTAAATAAATTATTTTTTTTTAAAGTTTTAAAATGAAACAAATCACAATCAGAACATTACAAAACAAACACCATTAAAAGAAGCTGCAACTAGGAAGGGACAGGAGTGGTGTGTGGGGGCGGTCATTCTCTGTATTAATACTGCTTGTCTAACCCATACTAATTCTTAGAGGCAAATACTTCCATGGATCAAGTCCTTATCATGAGCCAACATAACCACCGTAAACCAAAGACAGTACCTTGGGGTGAGGGACCTTCTTGTTTCTCCTGAGAGAGAAGTCCCAAGTAGCTGAGAACGACATACTTTGTTTCATAGTGAAATCCTAGAGGCACAGTAGTAGAGGACGCCATTGAACTGGCTGAAGAAGCTCCAAAGAGGTCTATTTAAGGATGTTGGGAATCTAAAAACAAAAGGTTTCTTTCAGTTTAAAATTGATTACAAACCAATCAATTTCCCCATTGATTCCCAATTACTCACCTAACTCCCAAAGTAAATGGCTCAACAGTTTTCTTTCCAAATATCTTTAAAAAAGTAACTTTAATTTCTAGACAAACAGTAACTTAACTATTCAAATAAAAGGTAAATTTTCCTTTTCTCGTTTTTTTTCCTTTTCTATTGATTTGCTTTTGTACTGTCTTAGAGGTGGCCACACCTGCCATGGTGCACATGTGGAGGTCAGAGGACACTCTGTGGAGGGAGTCCGTTCTCTCCTTCCCCCTACATGGTTCTGGAAATCAAGTTCAGGTCCCAGGCCTGCACGGCAAGCACACTTACCGCTGAGCCACCGCACTGGCTCTTCCTAATTATTCCCACACATGTGGCAAACACACAGGAGACATCCTGAACTCCATCCCTGAATATGTTTTCTCATTTCTTTTCATAACAAATCTCACAGCCTAGGCCTTTAATCCCAGCACTTGGGAGGCAGAGGCAGGTGGATCTCTGTGATTTCGAGGCCAGCCTGGGCTACAGGACAGCCAGAGCTGTTACAAAGAGAAACCCTATCTTAAAAAAAAGTAAATCTCAATATACTAGCTAGACCCATGCTACATTCCTGGAGACGCTACCTACCAGCTCTCTTTTCTACCATACGTGTAGCTAGTCTGAGTAAGAGGGGCAGTTGTATGTGCAACTTGTTATTTATTGGGGGTTTTAAGACAATAGCTCATGTAGCCCAGGCTGGCCTAGAACTCCCTATGTAGTCAAGCACTGGGATTACAGGCAGCTGTCCCCATGCCCAGCTAAAATTATTTTTTAGTTTTTGTGAGGTATGTGCAATTTGTGAGTCTCTTCTTTTTTGGGGGTGTGGGTTGCTGTTTTGTTTTTTCAAGACAGGGTTTCTCTGTGTAACCCTGGCTGTCCTGGAACTCACTCTGTAGCCCAGGCTGTCCTCAAACTCCCAGAGATCCTCCTGCCTCTGCCTCCCGAGTGCTGGGATTAAAGGTGTGCACCACCACCGCCAGGCTAACTCACTCTGCACTCAGCACTTTTCCATCTAAAAGAGCTCTAGTCAGTTTTACTGTTTGAAACTAGGGCCTGACTGGGACGTAATTTTATTTATAGAAATTCTACATCAGCTAAAAAAATTTTTACATTTATTTTATGTATGAGTGCTTTGCCTGCATGTATGTATGTATAACATATATGTGCCTGGTACCTCAGACGTTAGTGTTGGATCCCCTGAAATTGGAGTTATGGATGAGTGTGAACTACCATGTGGGTGCTGGAAACTAAATCCAGGTCTTCTGCAAAAGCAACAAGTGCTCTTAACCACTGAACCAGCTTTCCAGCCCTCTACATCAAGTTTTAAAGATTTATTGTGTGTATGCAGCATGGCATGTAGATGGAGGCAGGACAACTTAAGAGCTGGTTCTCAATATGTAAGTTCCAAAAATCAAACTCAGCTTACTAGGCTGGGCAGCACACACCCCTACCAGCTAAACCATCTCAAGGGCCAATTTCCCATCAATTATACTACAGTATATGAGGATTGCTATACTAAAACTACAGTTTAGAAAAGTCTTTGAACTGTACAAACTCACATATAGACCCAGTAGTATAATTTCACCTTAAAAAAAAAAAAATCACATTCTTGAAATCAGAGTACTGGAGCTTGAACCTAGGGCTCTGTCCACGCTAGACCAGTGCTTTATCACTGTGCAGCCTTTTCTTTTCCAGACAGGGTTTCTCTGTGTAGCTTTGGAGCCTGTCCTGGAACTCACTCTGTAGACCCGCCTGGTTCTGCCTCCTGAGTTCTGGGATTAAAGGCGTGTGCCACCACTGCCCCGCTCCCTTTCTTTTTTTAAAGGATTATTTATTCTTATTATTTTATGAATGATTTGCCTACAGTATGTACATACACCACAAGTTGTCTTTTGACCTCCACATGTGTCACAGGCACATACACCTGCTCCTCTACCACATATAAAAACACTACATTTAGGCCAGGCGGTAGTGGC